ATTAACGTATTAAATATTAGCTGTAATATCATTTATTGTGTGTAATAAACTACCATCCACAAGAAGTGGAACTTTTAATTCAGATTATGAGCATTTAACAGACTACAAACATTGTTAATTTGCGTCTTGTTTAATTAAAATATGAATAGTTTCGTCATTTTCCGTAGTTAAGGGATTTTATTATTTGACTTCCTTTTTCAGAGACAAAAGATGATAAATATTTCCGAAGATAAAGTTGTTTATGTTTGCTCTGGAAATGACATTCACGCACTTCAAATAACTTTTCTAAAATATTAATAATTTGCATACAAAAATACAACGAAATAAAAGTTGATTTATTATCTACAGAAAGCTTTGTTACAAAGGGTTAATTATCTTGTACCTTATATTTCAACTGAAAGAAAGGAATGAAATATAAATACTTTGGAAATATCCGTTCTCGAGTGTTAAGTAACGTAAATTATTCTTTGAACTTTCCTCCTTCGCATCGTATTTTATTTGGAGAGATAATGAAAGCTATTTCAAACTTAAAAGGGCAAGTTCTCCTTCATCTTGATGGTTTAAGTTCGGATTTAGGGAAAGGAGGCTTATTTTTACAATTCTAAGAAATAAGAAACTGCTTCGAGATTTTACAACCTTCCTGGTTTGGAGTAAATTATTTTAATGAGGTACGTTTGATCTAGCTCTTTATTTAATAAATATTTCGATCTTAATATGCAAAACATTTACTTTTAAGTATTCGGAAACTATAACATTGACGTGGCTTCTTTGTTCTTAAAAGGGGATAGAGAGAGTTAAAATTCTTGCGCAGAGCTCGAATATTTCATCTAATAAATTGGCAAAGTTTTAACAGGGTGGAACTTCTAGTTAAATGCTTAGGTATAAAACTTATTATAGTCATAAAATTTACTGCATTTACACAGTCCACAGGTGGAAAATCTATATGCGTCGCTTTTATTTCGGAACAAATGATTCCAAATTGCATGTAATAAGCCTCCGATTAACTCTACACATATTCGAAGAGAAAGTAACTGCAGTGTTGGAGTATAAAATTAAGAAGTTAACTAATCTAATTTTTCTATGAAGCAGAGTATTCAAAATTTACCACACTCGTTGAAGAATTGATTCACGTGCTTTTACCTTGCTCAAGCTTGAACTCGAGTGTGTGTGTGTGATTATCCCCCCTTAGGTAGAAAGCTTCGAGGGCTATCTGCCTGAGGGATGCCTTCGTGGAGGACTTTCTAAGGGAAACTGGCTCGTATACACGTTACACACGGACAAAACCACGAAAGCACCCATGCATCCAGCCCGTTCGCGGGATTTGAACCTCGAACCGAACTACCAGTGTTCAGCGACTTTACCGCTTGGCCGCTGGTGGGCAGAAAAGAACTCGAATGCCTGAACATCTAGACCTGATAAAATTCAGACGGTGGTGTTTACTGAGGGCACAAAATATTCTTGTTGTGCGCTGCAGAAAAGGACTGCTGCCCCTGGCCTTTAAGATTTTAGCCTCACAGCATTAAAATCCTCTTTGCAGAAGCTATCTACTACTGCTACACCGCCGCCTCAGGAGGGCTAGCGGAATACACGGCTGGATCACAAAACGAGGAACAAAACACGACTAGATAGGAGGGAAGAAAAAAATCACTTTGCATATACTGACTACCGCCGTAGGAGGGCACTAGTAGTCCACTACATTGACTAATGCTTCTTAAAAGCGGCAAGGCCGTATATATATGGCCTAGAATACTTTTTGTAATATCTGTAAGAAGGTATACGTGCATATTAAAATATGTTAAAGAAATTAAGGAAATATATCGAAAGAAAACAAATCCAGGTATGAAATACCAGGAGAGTTTTTACATTAAAATAAAAAAATAATTTGTTCTCGAAGTAGTTTTGGGAAATTTGTGCTTTCTTAGCGAAACCCTGACCGCTCAGAGGGTTAAGGTCTAGTTTGGACTTTGCTAACACATGCTAAGAGCATTACAGTTAGGTGGCTCCCCATATGAGTGCCTCTTACATTTTGCATAGTTCTCCAGCAAACATTATAAATTAATTTAACTAAGCATTGGAAACTTTAATTTCTACTTGCACTAATTTTAGTGCTTTGTACGTTTTGCTTTTAGGCCTTGCTATGAGACCGATTTACAGTGAATTTACGATGGACTTGCATAAATTGGAAAATTGTAATCTGACCTAAATACAAAATTTTTCATGGCTTTGTCAGATGAACGTTAACTGGATTGAAACCTTTACGCATATCGTTTACAAGCGACTCTTATATTTACGATTACATTCGCCGTTAAGTATTTTCATTTCTCAATACTGATAGCATAAACTGTACGTCATAAGAAGATATGAAATGATTAGCAGATACCATACTAGTACCTTGCACTTGCTTTATCACCTAGATGGCTAATAGGATCTTCGACTGGGGAAGCTTAGATTTTCAGGTATTCAAGTAATTCCAGTGCCTAGTGTATTGAACTATCCATTTTGCCATTCTATGCACGGAAACAAGGTACACATATTAGCCTGTAACAAAACTTCAGTGCCGTGCGTGTCCCCTCTATACTTACGGCAAATTTTGTGTAAGCAAAGTATTTATTACGTATTATTGCATACAGAAAAAATATCAAATATTACAGAAGTTAATCTCTGTAACCACACTGTTCCAAAGTTTCCGATCCTATGTCAGGATAAGATTCTGGGGACATAAATATGGTGCCAGAAATGGAAGATAACAATCAAACCAAAAAAACTCTAAATCTTATTTATCAAAAAGTATAAAGTTCAAGTTAAACCGGACTGTAAAGTGACTTTTTTCGGAAAGCAAGTCCTGTCTGTATGTTCGGCTAAATACTTAGGACTTCGGTTCAATAGATTAATCACTTGTTTATATACATAATAGTGTACATGGAAAGGCATAAGTTATCATTTGCAAACTTTTTCCATCACTCTCAAGTGACTCAGGACTCAATTCGTGCCCGTAAATTACGTCTTTATAAAGCCATAATCTGCCCGATCTTTATTTACGCGTCACCAAATTGGGCAAATGCGAAAGAAAATGAACTCGAGAGATTGCAACTCCTGCAAAACAAGTTGTTGCGGATTACTACTGGTGCCCCTTACTTCATCCAAAATAAAAATTTACATCATAATTTGATAATGTACCCGATTATACCTAAAGGAGCTTAAGCTGAAATTCTACAACAAGGCAGCAGTTAATATACTTCTGCAAACTTGGCTGCATTTTTAAATTATGAAATCTTAGTGGACGATTTTTTTCATTCGTCTGTACGCTGCACATTTTCTACGGCGATAAGGATTTGTTACCTGGTATGTGGTTTTACCTCTCACCTACACATAGCAGAATTACGTGTTACACTTCATGATGTAAATTATTTTATTCCTGTCTCGTGTGTTGTCTGGATTGAACACAGTCACCTGGCTGCTGACGCGGCTCTCACAGTTAGGGGGGAATACACATCCCCACCACTTTAGTAGACTATTGCTTTAATAGTAGATGCCCAGAATGACCCTGCAGTATTGCAGTATTCTATGTAATCACTTATATTTGACGAATTCCGTAATCGCTTATATTCCGTATTCTCTTACATTCGCCATTATTCCGTAATCGGTTTATATTCCATGAAGGTGGACAGATAATTATTCAACATTAGTGAGTTTCTCTGTAACGATTGATAGTAATTAGTTAACGGACATTTTTCTAATTGATATTTTCTTTTCCTCTGGATTCATTACAGAGTTAGATGTAATAATTACTTAATTTTCTGCTTTAATGCGCTAGAATCACTCTTATTTTGTTCGGTGTGCCCATCTTTCTAGAAATAAGTTTAAAGCGTGCACACCAAAATTCTCTTTATTCCAAAATAAAAAGATGAGTAGTGACTTTCCTTAACAGTCTTTAGGGGGTGGGGTGGAGGTCTCTTGGCAAAGAAAGAAAAAGAAAATAATAGTGGCACTTGAAACACTTCTTCACACTTATGTTTTGTGCGCCAACGTTCTTCTTTTCTTTGTTTTCTCTGCGACGTTTCAATCCGTGATGTTTTCGGTAGACGCTGATACGTCAGTCTTGGGACTTAAGTCACCATGGAACACTTTACAGGTGAACAGCGCGCTTTTTATGCAAAACACAAACAGCGATTCTTATGGAGATGTACGGTCCTATAGCAGTCACCCCAATGATTCACAGTCTTAGAGTTAATTCAGTTAAATCGTAGATCAGAAAATTCGAATAAACCGGTTCATTATAAATCTGAAACAAGCAGAAAGGCGAAAAGAAGCAAAACATGCTGTGTTAGGCAGAGCTGTTAGAATTTGAAGGTAATGACCTGGATGATTTCGATGACCTGGATGCAGCAGGATGGTGCTGTATGTCATATCTTAAACGTGACCGCACCTGTGGGTAAAGAAGTTTCCGCAATGAGAAACCAGTTTATTAGTTTTATATTTTGGCCTCCGAAAAATCTGGATCTTTCTTCGCCAAGGTTTCTGATAAGAATATTTTAAAAGCCGTTATACGAAACTAAATGCATAACAATAACACAGATGAAATAAAATATTCGTGATTAAAAAACCGTAATTCCACCTGCCGTGTGTCAGCGTGTTTTATAATACTTAAATGCTTGGTTGCAAGAATGCGAAGACCTGAAAACAGATATCTCGAGGATATTTTTTCAAAAAATAAATTCTAGGATATATATTTATTTTGGTAGCTTAAACACTCTTTTAAAAAGAATTATTTCTCACCCATATTACGTATTCTCTGTAGCGAATCATTTCGTTTCTTTTACTTTTCTTAAATAAATAAGTGATTCTGTTTTATTTTATTAATTGAACTACATGTAATACGTATTTTCTTTGGGTCCGTATTATATCCTTGCCCATATTGTAATTATTTAAATGCTTCAAATGCCTTCACATAAAATTAAAGGGAGCCTGAATTAATAATAGATCTTCAATTTTTTCCCCAGCTCAAATAGATGCTATCGGCGATAAGCCTCTCCGTGACGTCGTTAAAGAACTTGGAGGATGGCCGGTGGCAGAAAGAGATTGGGTTGAACCAGAATGGCCACTTGAGCATCTTCTCGGTCAGTTACGAGGCGACTACAATCAAGGAATCATCATCGAGCAATGGGTGGGACCTGACGACAAGAACTCTTCTGTCAACGTCATTCAGGTACGAGCTACGTAAAGCTCTGGATAATATTTGTAACGAACCACTATTTTAGAATTAAACCTCTTGGACTAAAAGAGGATAATTCTTCGGATTCCAAAAATGCACTGCAAATAAGCGAACGCGCAGGACATGAGTGAAAAAAAAACTCTCGTTCGAAAACTTTGAGAAACAGAAAACTTTGCGTTTAAAAGAGTACACGGTTTTAATTTCAAGATGTGTAGCTTTTCCCGCTTTGGTATTCTGCTGGATTTAACATGCATTAGCACTCTTTTACTGAAACCACCTTCTTCGGTTGTTTCAAACTTAAGAGTTTAAGATAGCGATCTCTTACTTTCAGATGAGAATGATCTAGATCTAATTTTTTCGTATTAAATGTTACTATATTTTACAGTGCCACTATAATATTTCTTTTATGGTCCCACTTAGTACTCAACAGGTAATATGTATCTTAAATTAGCATTTCGACATGAGTTAAAAACTTCTTAGCTTTCCTGCTTTATAACCTTCAATTGTTCCATGCAACATTCTGTGCTTATATATAAATAGAGAAAAATACTAAGCAATAATATACAAAACGTACTTTACGAATGCACGTATTTGGAATTTATGCTAGTCTGAAACCGTGACTGTTATTCTGATGTTCTGTTTCGAAGTTATGTAAATTCTATGCTGTTATTATATTTTGTAACAATATAACACATCGATGAATCTGAATAATACTATCCCGTGATTACTGAATATTAATTAAGGTACAATAACATGCCGAACAAGCATTAATTTAGCAGTCAAACAACAAAAGTCAGCGTTATATTTTCAAATTTTGACAAGACCAGTTTCGATGGTTTTACAGAACCATAACGTAAAAGCGCAAATGAACGAGATAAAATATAGTGATTAGATAAGATAAGAAAGACTGGACAGGAGTTAAGCAACTGGCGCCATCAGTAGATGAAACGGAAACTAAAATATAATAACATACGCAACTAAAATTTTTCTAACATATGCATATTTTCTAACATATAAGGAACATGAGTCATATGTTAGAAAAAAAGGAAACACAGGTCTTCTGTTGGCCAACATTGTTGGTCCGAAAATCACACTTTCAATTTTTCTGCAGCCAAAATTATTCAAACAACATCTTCCATTGGTGAATTAGATTTTCTAGAGGCATTTCACATTTAAAAAAATTTTTCTGTTCAAGTTTACGACCTTAATTCCAATCCACCTTTGCCTTCAGCCTTTAAGGAAATTATGTTTTAGTTCTCGTTTCATCAGCAGTTGGCGCCAGAAGCTTAACTCCTGTCCAGTCTTTCTTATCTTATCTTATCTAATCACTATACCTTATCTCGTTCATTTGCGCTTTTGCAACTGAGTATGATGGATGGTTCGGTAAAATCATCGAATTTAGTCCTGTGAAAAATTTGAAAATATAACAGTTGGCGCCAGAAGCTTAATTCCTGTCCAGTCTTGCTTATCTTATCTAATCACTATACCTTATCTCGTTCATTTGCGCTTTTGCAGCTGAGGATGATGGATGGTTCGGTAAAACCATCGAAATTCTGTGAAAATTTGAAAATATAACGCTGATTTTTGTTGTTTGACTTCTAAACTAATACTGAATATTACTTAGGTACTGAGTCTTTTAAATAATTAGTTTTTCCAAAAATATTTGGAAAATAATAAGTTCCTTTACGTTCTAAAGTAGAAATGTAAACATAGTAAGGGAAGAATACATTTTAGAATATTTTAAGGGAAACTAGATAACATTCACCTCACGTGAAAACCATGAAAAGGCTTTGCAGCGACCCCATTAGCCTTGAATCAAATTTAGGAAGAAGAGTCAGTCCTCAGCAGTTTTATCCGTTCTGCTACTGATGGGATGTAGGCAAATGAAAGCACAACATAAACACCTCATCTCAATCACAAGTTAATCAGTATATTATGTAACTTTCAGCTACAAAATATTATCACAGTTTTAACAAAGAGCACCCAGTAACGGTGTCTGGCTATCTCAAACATTTTCCTTTGCTCCAGCCGCATGAAAAGTCTTTCACATCCACAGATCTTGCATTATCCCAATAGGCACGATAGTCATAAACCTTCAAGTTTTGTCTAAAATTTGAGTCCCAACCTTCACCATTGCACTTTCTTTTATCTAACCATCACTTACCAAAATAAGACTTTAAAAAACCCTTAAATGTGATGGGAATAACATGCAGAAAACCTTAAAAATGAGAATAATAACATGCAGAAAACCTTAAAAATGAGAAAAATAAAATGCCTCTTAACAAGAAATGTTCAAAGCTGTAATACAAAAAATAAAACCTGAAGATTTATGCACCTTGCCCAATGTTCATTGTTTCGTATTGAAAAAAAAAATATCCAGAAAACTCATATACAAGAGCTAAGATAGAAATATGTGTCTATGATGCTACTAGAAAACTGTGTATGTTGTGTGTAGTTACTAAAGCAAGATGTAAAGCGCAAAACACTGCTTGTGTCTCATGACTCCATCAAGAAAGTTTACAAAAATGGATGAAGCACTTAATGATGAAATACAGGATATTATAAACTCATGTGGGATCTAATATTTTTCTGGCATTTAGATTGCTATGTAGTAATGCAATGAAAAATAATTCATGTGTTTTAGTTTCGGAAAAATTAATAACAGAACAAATAAAAATTGTATTTACTTATGCTTTCACAAATGTGGACATCCAAACACAAATCCATAACAGACTTTTCAAAATTTTAATTTTTCGTTCTAAAAATAAGTTATGAACATAAGCATAACTTCATATGTTAAATTTCCATGTTTGTTAATTCAGCAATTTTCTACAGCTTCTATTTTATTATAATTTTCTAGGTACTATTTTAGCATATTTTGTATTTTTAAATAATGATTTTAGCTAACAGTAATGCTTTTGCTAAACAAACCTGTTATGTCATCTCTCAAAAATTTCCCAAATTTAGAAAACAATTCTTATTTTGTTAATTCGTTTAGGATAAACGTTCTTTAAAAAAATTCTTAGAAAATCTCCTTTTGCTTCAATAATACCTTCATGAAGTCAGGTGATATTAAAGTTTTTTGTATCGATTAATAAGCTGAATTAGCATAAAAATAACAAATAAATCGTTTCTTAGAAATAAAATGTAAAAATTGGTATTAAATTTATCAAATCTTTTCACATTTAAAGATATTTTAAAGAATATTATTCTCAAAAACCTGCTACAATGTTTTATACATAAAAACCATTAAATTTTTAAACCTAAAATTATGCATGTGCTTAATGAAACGATATTTAAGAAACAATAAATAAAATTTATCTGCACAAAATATTTTATGCCCAAGATATTTACAGTACGAGAAAAAGATATTTTATTTGAAAGATATTGACAGAAAATCCAAACAGGTATCATAAAAGCCCCTGAGTGTTCTTAAATTTTATATGTTCTCTTATGTACCTTAGAGTATATTATATATATATAATTTTATATGTACCTTAGAGTAGTCCACTGATTTCCAGATTCAATGTGGTCAGTGCCGCCCATGGTAAACTGGTTAGGGGAGCCTATTAAGGCAGGATTTTAACTGCCCGTCCCTTCATAGGAGGCAACGATGGAGCCTATTAGGTGCCTCCAAAATACAATGGCCAGCACTTCTGGCTTTAGGAGCTGTCAGTGCTGAATAGGAAAGTGCTGGCCATTAGATTAAAAAAAAAAAACAAAAATTGCCAATCGAATTTAAAATTCTTTCCGCTTTGCTTTTCCAGAATGCAATAAATAGTTTAGTGATATCTTACTATTTCTCCATTTTATTATCGTACTTAGTTACATGTTTAGTAAATATTAAAATTTCAATAAAATATTAATAAAATTTTTTTTTCATCTTTAAGTTGGACCAGATGACGTTCGGTCTCCCAAGTCGAGAATATTTTTTAAAGGACAGCAGCGAACGTGAAAGAAAAGCATACTTGAAACTGATGGTGGAAATTGCAACACTCTACGGTGCTGAGAGAGAAACAGCAGAAATAGACATGTCAGATGTCTTAGATCTTGAAATACGACTTGCAAACGTATGTATATAATTATCTGTACTCTTCACATATTGCTTTTTTGACTAAATTAGTAAAATGAAATACAGGATACTATTCAACAAAAACTACTAACTAAATATTACTCGCACTAAAATTAAATTAAAAAGAGGCATTTACAGAGGATGTTTACGCACTTTTAGAATGATTTCGATGAAAAATTAAAAATAAGCAAATCTTTTGAAATAAAAATTTCTAGCAATAGCTTAGTGTTTGAAATCAAAAATATCGTCTGGCACTGCATGTAAACAAGCTGTGGATTGAAGGCTTTGTTTTCGCGCTTTCCGAAGAGAAATATTCCCGTTCCATAATTAAAAAACGTTGTGACATGCATGGTATTAAAATTGCTAAATGTAAAATAAACAATATAATTAACCTGAAACGAAAAAACCCGTCAATCATTACTTTTACATGGAAAGAAGATTACAAACGGATAACCGAAAAATGTACGTACTGTTTCTAACGTTTCTAAAGTTAAATTGTTGGTAACAAGAGAATACCCGCCAATACAGTATTTCAAAGTCTCTAAATATATCTGTAGTAATAATAAATAAAATACGCAACCAAGATTTAGAACGTAAAAAAGCTAAATTACATAATGTTTACCAGCTTTTGAAGAGGGATGTAGCCCAACGCAGATGAACAATTTGTAGAATCCTTTATGAAATCTGTTTTTAGGTGATAAGTAGAAATACATTGTGACCCTTGATGAAGGATTTACGTTAATGACTGCATCAAAGAAAAAGGCTAAAATAATTACAGCGAATAATTTTATTTATACCTGAAAACGAACAGAAAAAAAAACATAATGTGGACACTCCATGAGTTCTTTGTACAGCCTATTAAAAAATTACACTTTTTTGGGCTGCACTTCATTTAAACTTATTTTCTCAAATTATACTAGCTTTATTAACCTATTCTTTTAGGACAGACTAAAAATGACATAAAAAATTGCGAATTTTGGAATTAAATATCCCGGTCAATTTTTGTTGTACTAGAGTCAATTTTTGTCGTATTGGAGTACTTTTCAAAATTTTATTTTTCATAACAAGTATAAAACTTTCCCATATATGACTATAAGAAATTGCAATTGGCATTAAAAGTTAGATTTTGTTATTTGTCGAAAATAATTCTTTTTTAAAATTTGACTCTGCCCAAACATGAATATTTTCAACATTTAAAACATTTCTGTAACTGAAAGTACATGACTACGACCAATGACCCGTCCTGCGCTATAGCTGCAGGATTGAAGTAAAATAAACTTAAAGAATTTAAAGTCAATATTAAATTGGAATCAAAGCAAGTTAATTCCTCAACAACATTAATAAACGGAATGAAATCAATATCCCTGAAAATTTTTCAAACACCCATTCTATCATAGAAATCCCGATGCAGACTTATAGCCCACAAAATAAGCTATCAGGTGGAACATTTTAATAATTAAAATGGCCCAGAAATCACTCTAAAAATACGTAAACACTCTTTAATTAGGCCGAATGTATTCAAATGGCATTCTATGAGATAGTAAGGCAAAAAAGAATTCTTAATGCTACCATTTGTATCAAATTTGATTCCGATTTAGGTTTATACCAATTATTATTACAATTTTACATGTTTGCCTTTCAAAGTGAGGCTGCTTATTGTTGAAAAATATTTGTGTATTACTCTTTTCAACTAATTCTGAGTGGAATTTATTGCCCTTTAATGTCGATAAATATTAATTAAAAAATACTTAATTACACAATTTCTCATAATTCTAAAATTCTAGCTAATTTGCATCTTATTAACTTTTCTATCAACCACTGAATTCATTATAGTCTTTAAAAACTAATTCTAAAGTCATTTCGTTTTATGAAGATAAAAATTTGATATTTACCTGACACTAAATCTGATTTTTCGAAATAAAATGAAATTTTAAAATAGTGCTTCTTCAAATGGAAAATATTTTCCAATTTTGTATATTTCGTTTATTTAATTTGTTTTGGGAAAGCATAAAATGATTCTCATTATGTTTCAGCATAATTAATTAAGACTTTCCTTAAAAAATATGCTTGCATCAGTAACTGTAATTTTAAGTATTTAATGTTGAAAAAAGTAATGTAAGAAAATTTATCAAAAGATTCAGGGTAATTTCTATAACACTTCGTGATCCACCAACGGTCAAGAGGTAAAATGGCTTTATTCTAGTAATTCAACTTGAGTTCACGTATGGCCTAGCTATATACCAAATATGATATTTAAAACTTTGACATGAATTATTGCAATCAACATAACAATTTGTGAATTAGACCTAATAAACATACTAACAGAACAAATTATGTGGAATGCACTGTACTCTGTCACCATGAAAATGAATTTTTAATATGACGCAGGAATAAGTTCAAAATCTCAAGCCGTTCAAAAATGCAGACCGAATTTTATCTTGATAATTTTAACAAACTAATGTATTGTGTAAGTAATATTTCAATGATCCCAAATTATTGTTTTTAATTTATCATAGTCTATAATAAAAATTAGATATCACATCTCTTACTTCGGCTACTGTAGCTGGCAAGTATACAAGTGTTAGTATATGTAATATTGCCTATACAAAAAAATATGTTTTCTTTATACTATCATGAATCCATTGATCTTTAATATTTACGAAACTTTGTAAAGATCTTAAATTTTACTAACATTTATTTTATTTTAAACCTTTACTATCTTTTCTTATTTTCCATTTCCGGTCAGAACTAACTGCTTTAAGTTTTTCATGCAAATTGTACTTGCTAACACCCAAGTATTTAAATTGTGGCTTTTTGCCAAGAGTTAGAAAGAGAGAGGAAGTGAGCCGCCACTGCATTCTTACGAGTTTTCAATCAGTTGCTGCTTACCTTTAAGGCCAGAGGTTTAGTCCTCTTGATATTTAAAACGTATTGTAGTTTCGGCAGTTTGGGTGCTACCTACGTAGCCTTTTAAAAAGGCCAGTCTAGTGTCAGACATTTGTAACCTAATTAAAGTTAGCTTCTAGTTAGAGTTTTAGTTAGTAGTTTTATATTTTTTACGTTCAGACCACAAGTGGTTGGTCTCTGTATCCCGAAGTACGGGAGTACCTATAAATTAATAGAGAATAAAGGGTTCAGTACACCCTTCCTGCTTGTGTCGTCTATTCCACACATACTTGAACATAGCTTTAGTAAGCTCCCTGTTCCTATTTAGGGTACATAATATTTCCAAAGCAAGTCAAAAGCCATACAAGTCCAACAACGTAAGTGACAACTTAAAGCAGTTTTCTCAATGATTTTAACCAAAATTGTAAGCAAACCTTTTTACATAATTTAGATATTTTTATTTTCTGTTACATAGCTCTTATTAGATTATCTTAAACCAAATAATTATACCACGTGCATAAGATGTGCCTTTCGAGGAGGACCTTCTCAGTGAAATTTATTCATTATTAATGTTATGAATAGGTAAAGCAATAAAAAATATTTTGCTGCATTCAGATCAAGATTAAATAGCAGTAAGTCCACAGGCTAAAATATTTTAAGTCAATTCATAAACTAGGTTTGGGTGTTAAATAATTAAAAAATTTTAATTGATGTGTTTAAAACAAACGCAATATACGAATTAGTAATATTTCCAGATACGAATATATTCTAATTTCTGAAAAATGCAGTGGGTTATCGAGAGATCTTATAAACAAGTCTTCCTTCTCTCCCGGATAAACGCATAGAACTGGACTGGACTGGACTATTTGAGTTTTGGCAAATTGCACAAGGACTGTCTGCCCAAGGGAAGGGATGCCTCCGTGGAGGACTTCCTGAGGGAAATGGCTCGTATTCGAGTTATAGAGAAAAACCTATGAGAACTCCTTTATAGTTAACACGTTGACTGTAATCTGAACTTGGTCGCACTACTAATGCTCAAGCGATTTTGTCGTTCGGAAGCTGGTAGATTATTCATTTATTCGGCTCTAACTACATCCTAAACTAAACCTGAAATTCATCTTCAGGTCTTCAGAGGTTTTACTTATAATTGCCGTATAATATTATTGCCTATTAATATTATTTCATTATGGGGAGATAAATAGAAAGGGCATGAAAAGATAAAGATGTCACCAAGAACATTAGCTGTTAAAATAAATATGTCTTCATAAACCTTAAATTTCTGTAATTTTGAATCATTTGTGTGTAAAATTCAATGATATAAGAACGTTTTCAATGAATTACCATACAATTATTATGAGGAATAAATTTCTGCATAATTTCTTGGTATGTTCAAGTTTGGGAACACGTACGTTTAGCTCATACCCATACTCTTTCACGAATCAAATTTATTTTCATTTCACATTTATAATTATAATCTCTAGAATGTTGTAAGTAATTGCTAAATAATTATTTCAAAGTCTCGATAGAAAAGAGTATTTTCGCCATGTGTAATTTTCTTGCCGAGAAATCTAAAAGTAATGGAAAATATCCAAAAACCCAATTTTAATAAGTCATAAATAATGATATTTTTAAAATAAATTTTAAATGTCATTTATTTCTACAATAAAATAATAAATTTAAGAAAAGGTGATTTGATTATTGGGTATAAACGCTATCAGATGAAACCATTAGGTTTATTACGTGATAATATATATAAAGACAGAAAATTACATCAAAAGAAACTTAAGGGGAGTTGGAAACCCAAAATCTTCAAAAAATTGTGATTTCGGATTTTTGCATTTTCAAATTCTCTACACTTTTATCTTTCTAAAAATACCATTCTTTAATCTTTATGAAAATTAGAAGTGTAAAAAAATCTAGTTTTAATTTGTCATCAACTGCTTTGATCAATGAGGATTTTTTACATAAAAACGCGTTTTTCTCCAAACGTGATTTTTTTATACTCGATGTACTTTTTCTCAAGAACTACTGCTCACAGATGTCTAAACTTTTTATGGCTTATTTATTAGGTTCCCTAATATTTATTGAAATGAGCTTTTTGTAATAAACTTATAAAAAACTTTTTTTTTAATTTTTTTGTTTGAAAAAAGTGCTAAATTTTACTATGCATAACAAAATATCCTGTAATTTACTCTAAAATTCAAAATGTTTCAAAAGTTCATTTCAGTATAATCAGATAGGTATACTTTAATTACAGAAAAATTTCAAGCTTGTATCTGCAGCAGATTTTGAGAAAAGGTACATCGAAAATGGCCAATTTAACATTGTCGGTATAGGGATTTCTGATATCCCTTAAAAGAACTAAGGTATTAAAACACTCATATCCTGAAAAATATAAGACTGATATTTCGTAATTATTTCTCTTCTTTTAAAAGTAACAGAAAAAAATGGTAAACATTAAGGATATTTCATAATTTAATTTCCAAATTATAACGTAATATAATTTTGGTTTTAATTTTGGAACACAATTTTGGCAGTAAACATTTCTAACACCCCCCGTTTCACTAATAATTCACTTAAGACAGTTTAGCTTTCTTTCTCTCAAAAAAAAAGATAACTTATAAAAAATAGCATAGACGACGAATTAAAAATTAAAATATAGTTTTATAACAGAAATTTAAATAATTAAATGAAATCTTACCTCTTTCTTACTTCCTGTCTCACACTCATATTCTGAATCAACCCACTGCACTGTGAAGTTTCGATTGAATAACTTTATATTCCCTTGAAGCAATATTTGTTTAGCTACTGCAGCGGCTTGATGGCTTTCATATTTCACAAACACAAATCCTCTGTTCTCACAAAGTTCTCTGTCCTGCATGATAACATCCACAATATTTTCAGTATACTTAGAAATTTCATCGAAAATCTCTTTTTTAGTTTTCGAAATTGGTACACCACCAATGTATAACTTGGAAGCATCAAGGGATTTTTGCACAATCAGTCTCTGATTCGGCCTGATTTCAAAATTGTTCAAAGTGTTTACTGCACTTTCAGCATCTGCTTTGTTGGAATATGTTACAAAGCCAAAACCACGATGAGAACTTTTGGATTTCATCATTAACTGGAATTCATAAATCTTTCCAACGTTCTCAAACAAAGGAAGTAAATCTTTTTCAGAAACACTGCTCGGAACTTTTCCGTAATATACCTCAGCGCTTTTTGATGGAGGTGGACCTGTCCAGTCATGCGGAGGACCATATTTTCGTTGCGTTCTCGTATGAATAACAGTCCACTGAGTTTCAGCCATTCTTCTTCACTCGTTTCGTAGTCTAATACTATTGCACAGACTCATGTTACATTTGTACTCGAGCTAAAATGCGTAATGTGAACAATGTACGAGTAAATGCACTGCACATGCCAAGCGAATTTTCCATTACGTGTCTCAGATTTACACAGCTGCAGATAAAAGTGAACATCGCAGCAAGCCTCAGAAGTTTCGACTGTCTCTGATTGAAGCTGTCTTTACAAGTAGAGAAGAAGAGAAAGACGGGAAAATTTCCCTTTTTCTAAAATTAGACTGAAAGATGAAGTGCTGAAACTTCACATGTGACTCGTCGGTTTCTTAATTTAGCCTGTGTCTATGTGACAAAGACAAGCTGAAATATGAAATAAAGACAGTATTTGTAAAAAAAAAAAAAAAAAAAAAACTTGAACATTAACATTGCATGTCTAACTAGAATTCAGTTGTCATTATCAGTTAACACCAGTTTAAGGTTTATTTATTGTTTTTTTTATAACAGGGGAATTTGAACATCTGTTGGTTTTCAAATAATGATTATAATTAACAAAACATTATAATAACCTTAATTTTTCACTCTTTCTTCACGATGAATCATATTTTTTCGAGACTTTATTATACTGATTCATCTTTCGAGACTTTATTATATTGATTCATCTTTAAAGTTACGCGAATATTCTTAATTGCTCAGGGGGATCAACTATAACCCACTTAATGAATTAGAAATGTAGATAGGTTTTGAAGCAGAACCAGATAAGATGTGTTATCAAGGTTCTTTCTTGTTCTTATTTCCAAGAAGTGAGATGAATAAAGATACTTTTAATAAACTAAACATTTTACAGGAATATTTAAGAAAATTTTAAGTTAGATCGTTAATACAAGCAAATTAAGATTAGTAAATGAAATATATATTTTAGCCATTTTTTAAAACTCTGCTTAAAAATGAATAATAATTATAATTTTTTATTTGTGAAAGAATAAGTTGTCTTTAGTTCTATATAAACTACCTACTTTCAATTTATATATCACATTTATGCTAATATTGTATATATAAACATTAAGTATAAATCATTTGGTTTATAAAAACATACATAAATTATACGATTTATTTTTTTTACATAAATTATAAGATTTATTTTGATTTCTAACTTGATTGTTAAAAACTAATTGTTGATGAACTTAAAGTTGCACTTTTTTAAAAGCAAATTGTGTTGATTTCAGGTACTATTAAATACCTGATATAAATTTGATATCTGCCAGAGTTAAGAATTACAGCTTACATTCTTTAAATTCAATTTAAAACAGTCTTTAAATTTGTCTATTCTCTTTAAATTCAGAAAACAAACATTACCAACGTAACGCCCGAAAGTTGGCAAAATTTGTACCTCTGCACTGAAAAAGTCTCATCAAGTAATTGATATTATTTTTTTAGCAACATGGCACCTTTGCTCCCACATACATATTTTTTAAATGGCTGGCACTAGTCATTTTGGGCTTAGGCACTAATAAGGCCAGAGGTCGTTTTATTATGGAGGCAACTAATAGGCGATCACCGTTACCTCTTAGGAAGGGACAGACAATTTGCATCTATACCTTCTCCGAGATTCGAACCTGGGCCCTTCGATACAACAGTTAGAGTCACTAACCACTTTCCCGTAAGAGCTGCGCCTACATATCTGTAGTATGTCGTTAAAAATTATGAAGTGTTGGCTGACAGTTATTATGAGACAAATGATAATCGGTAAAATTTAAAAATTTTCTTATTTATAGATATAGAGCTTGAAATAAAAATGCTGCCTACATTGACAACAGCCGGTAGAGAAACATGTGGCTAAAACCACGGAGTGCTGGTAGACCGGTTCCCTTAACTAGTTCTTTAGGAAGCCATCCTTTCCCACAAGCAGATTATAATGCCCTTTACCATAATCAAAATAATCTAATGTAACCTCACAGGATGCGAGTTTTGCTGTGATGTGATTTTCGAGTAGTGGAAACCTGTTTTCAGGCTTTAAAAATATATTGAACTATCGGCTGAGGTATTTGTGAAGTGTTTCTGGTTGATAAGTAAAAAAAAAAAAAAAGCAGCTATCTTCATTTCTTCTTTCAGGCTTCAACACCAGAAGCTGACCGGCATGATACTGGAGCAATATACAACAAAATGTCTTTACAAGAGCTTTCCGAAATTGTACCAGAGGTAAGAAAAGAATATTTTTCATTATTTTTTAACGAGAGTTTTAAATAAATGAATAAATAATTGATGGTTTTTCTAATAAACAAAATAATTATGACATTTTCTTACTAAATATTTTTAGACTATTTTTTAAATTTATCATTGATGTAATAAAATACATATATACGAGATTTTCTAAAACATATACTAGATAATTAATTAGAAAATTAAATACAGATCATAAATTTTCAGCAACAAGTTTTATGGTTCCTCACTTTTATCTTGTTAAATGTAATTGTCGAGGACCTAGAGAATTGCTGAGTGAATAATTGCTTAAATCCAAGAACAGAAACGTAAACTCAAGGTTTAATTACCCTTTATTTGCTCCAAATAATGATATTCATTCGTCCCCTTTCTCAGGACGTACAGCAAAGCCTCCACTTAGGCTTAAACTCAAAATGTAAGAAATAAGAACTAACTAATGACTAACTAAAGAGATTTGGCCGAAGCTAACACTATTCTAAACAAATCGGCCCGTAATATTAAATTATCCAGCAAAGCTATCAAAAGGCATGTAATACGGCTGAACGTAGTAACAGTTAGAGAGACGTAGCCAAAAGGCAAACGCACACTATTCAGGAATCGTAACTCTCTTTCTTGAAGTCAGTGAAACTTTGACTTAGAGACTTTCTACTTCTACTTCTCATTTGCATTTAACGCGATTTTAAAAACTCATTCTAGTAAAGAATTGTAAGCTGAAGCTTAAAGAGATAGGAAAGGTTCATAAACTCAAAATAACTGTTATAAAATTAGGATATACCTTACAAAGTTATTCACTAATTTTGAATGTTAACACCGTTTTTAATCGATTTTGTTAATGTAACATTATTTTGCTCACACAGAGCTGGAGCTAAATCTTTTGGCGCCCGGTGCAATTTCTGATGGTCCTAAATTCTGCTCCGGTGTCTTCCCTAAATTCTAAGCGTTTTGCCATGTCTAAATTATGTTGTTCACTATGTTCAGTGCTTTTCTAAATTCTAAAAATTATTTCGCCCTTAAATTCTGCCATTCGTGCTGCTGCACCGACTGAAATGCCTCTGGCACAAGCCCTGTAAACACGTTTTGAAGTTTTTGTTTTCACAATCTAAAAGATCTGTTTTAACTTCAGAGTTTTCGAGATACTTCCTTAGGCGAACTCATCGGACATTTGTTACTGTCAGTTACCAGAAACCTTTCCGGAAGATTATTAAATCCATTGGAAAGTATTATTTTTATTCAAGATGCCGTGGTTTTCATTGGCATACCTTTTCCTAAGTTAGCTTATTGTCGTTAGTTAATTGAGTCTGGCAAAGCACAGGAGGGCATTCAATTTAAGAGAACGAGTGCCTTCGTCCATGTAACAACCATTTCGTTAAGATTCGAATTCGGGTCGCATTATCAGTGTTCATCATCTTTTTTGAATCACCCTCACAGAAAAAATTGCAAATAGTTAAATCTGAGTCATTGTTCATTTTCGTGCAAAACGTCTGCTAGTCTCTCGATTTGGAAGAAATTCTGCAGCTAGTCTCAGATATTATTTTTAAACAAAGAAATGTACCAGCCAGGATAAATTAAATTTGTGTAATATTGTTCTATTAAACACTTTTTGGCAACTAACAGTCCAGTATTTCCAAATTCAAAACAAGTTGCAGGTAAAATACAGCCAAAGCTTTTGAATGATGTAGTGTTTCATCTACTGTTGCTTTGGGAACCCGTGTCGGTAAGGGCTAGCGGAAGTGTATCAAAAACTATGCCAGTTGGATAATTGGAAACAATATTTCCAACGCGCTTAATAACTGCTCCACAAAGCGTTTTCGGAGTCAGATATAACAAATATCCCATTTCTTCTAAAAAGTATAGCGAGAATGCTGAACTTTTATAGAGCTTAAAATTATTTCAAAGAAATCCTCAAGGACAGGAATGCGTAATAATAAAATTTAAAAAATAAGTTAAACTGCTAAAAACGTATTCTTTAAAAGGTGATCTTTTAACAGCAAGTATAACATCAAATTTCATTTCAGAAACAATTATTATACTCTTAGATCAGTACAAAACGCATAACTATCAAAACTGAATTTCACTGCAAAATATTTAGAAAGATAAGTCAATCTTATCCCTAAGAAACATACTTTTATTGGGCTTTTGAGCTCAAAGCTTAATCAGGCTTTTGAGTGGCTTTCTCATTTTACTGGAATACTTTGAATACTTAGTTAAATGACTTACTAATAATTAGTTAAATGACTAAATTAGTAAGTGAAATTTCAAATTTAGTTAAAAAGCTTTTATTGTCTTTATAATTTTATTTTCATTTTGTGAAACAAATTTGTCAGCTGTTTTCCGATTGGCAATTTAAGATTGAGACCACTGCTTTGAAGCATTGCAATTACAAGAGCAGCATTTGGTTTTAGTATCTCCACTCATATCTATTTAAATCTGTGCGAATAAATTCCATATCTTTTGCTCGAAATATAGGCAATGAAACGTAATAATTTGGTAGACAAATAAGCGCGAAAAGTATTTTGTAATTCAAATATAAATGTGACTTATATAACGCACTACTAATCTGGCACAATAAGGCAAGGATTCTTTCACCGAACTAAGCGTAAACTCAGCTGCACCTACCCTAGCTAATCTTGCTCTTCTTTGTTCGAGATAATGAACGAAGATGGAGTTTTTAGAAGATTGTGGGTATTTGACGCGTGTGCATCTATTACTTTAATTTCCAATTTTCAGAAATTCATTTATGCAGATTCTTCTTTATTTAATTTCTTCAAATATAATACAGGGCGATAATATTTGGTGACAACAGTTTGAAAAGTGAAACGGACATTCAGAGTGATTCGACGCAAAATCGCAAAACGGAAACAATGGTCCCTCAGGGACAAAGCCACTTTGGACTAAAAATGTTTTAATGTATGCAAAAGTAAGATATATATACTAATTATATTTTTTCTCACATTTTAATTTATAAAATTAAAATACTTTCTGCAATTCATTATCAGTTTTCTTGTATGCTTTGTTGCCCAGAACCGTTCAGTCTGGTCATTTAGCCAACAAACCACATAATTCGTATCTCTTAAAATTTCAAATTTCATTTGAGTATAACATTATTGAATCATCAATTCTTTTAATTCATTGATGTTAAACAATCTGTGATGAGTTCTAGCTGTATTTTGGCCATGAATTTGAAGACATCTTCTAATAAATGATGAATTCTGTACCTGACGAGAGTATCCTTTCGCCATTTAACATTTACGAAACGAGAGGAATGATAAACCGCTTGTAAAAAACGATATACCGCATACATATCTAACTTTTGCAAACATTAAAATATTCTTCATATTTATTTTTAAGCATGCTGCAAAAAGAACCTCTTCCTCTTCTTGCTTATTTTTTCCTGCCGTCTTTAATATAGACGTGTTTTTTTTTTTTTTTTTTCCTTTTTTGACGCATAACATTTTTCCCTCTAGTAGCAGGAAAGTGCTTTAGCTCTACATAACATTTAAGTTGAGCATTCAAAATATATATTACTTGAATTTTTAGCAATATTTTAATACAAACCTTTTTTTCCCATGAATATTTTAGCAATATTTTAATACAAACGTTTTTCTTTTCCCATGAAAATAAAATAAATTTTTAACTCGAGGAATCCTGTTTATAAAATTTCTAACTATCCTTGAGAGATATTTTAATAACACAGAGATAGCTTTCTGTTTTTAATTTTATTCAAACGGTAATATACCTTTTTAACATTCTGATAGATTATACACCACTTTTACATACATAAAAAAATTCCAAAATAAATGAGGATTTTAAAGCGAAAATGCTCTTTGTACTGTGTTTTAATGTAATATATGTAATAAAATATCTATAATGTATAATTTTAATATAATACGTAATTAATTATTAATATTATAACTGTATTATTATACTATAATATCTATATGATATGTAGTTAATTATTAATATTTTAACTACATTATTATATAATATATAGATATATAATATTGTTACGTTTTTTTTTCTTCACGGGTTCGTGCAGATTTGGAGTGAATATTGACGACACTTGATGAAGTATCGAAACACACATTATTTAGACAATATTAATCAGGACAGCTCCAAAGTCACTTTTTACAATCGTCGAAGAACTACTATAAACACGCTGGAACAATCAGAGACATAGCCTTCACACTGTCGGGGAATAACGGTGGAGACAGCTTCACTGCAAAGCACCAGAGTATAGCTCCCGACTCTGCTCGGTCGTTCTCGGAACTCCACGTACTCTCGAGAATCTCCACGCTGTAACTCGCGATGCACTCGACACAGAGCACAGTTCCCGACTCTTCGGTTCTGTCGTTCCCGAAGCTTAAACACACTCTCTTGGCGATGCACTAAGAGACTTTTCGATGCACTCGACGATTAACTCGGCACTAGACTTCGAGACACTCTCTCAGTGACTATCAGCTCGCTAGACGAGGCACACTCTCTCTCTCCGCGTACCAGCAGGGTTTTTATAGTTTTTGGCTTGTGTTCGAGACCATTCTGGGCTAAACCGGTAAGAATTCATTCCAGAAGATTCTCCATCCGTCCCTGGCATATCGCCACTTTTGTCGCCAAATGGGCGATTTCTCGCCATATGTTGCAACCATGCCTTCCCTTGCCATTTTATGGCAACCCTAAACTTGCGGGGAAGCTATCTTACCGTACCTGTACATTTCGTAACAATATGTAGTTAATTATTAATATTATAACTATATTATTATATAATATATAATTTATATTTAATATTATTCAAGAAATCAGTTACTAATATTCATAAACTCTCAACAGGATTTTCGTATTTAAAAAGCGAAATATATGTATGGTTTTGAGTTTTTCATATTTTTTATTTGTTTTTAAAAGTATGAAACGCTTTAGAAGATTTTTTTTTTTTTTTTTTTTTTTTTTTTTTTTTTTGAGTTGTTAGAATCTAATCAAGTAGAAAA